ACTGGTCACGATGTTCGGTAGTGTTTTATTTTTCATTTTTTTTCTACAAATCAAAATGACCTGAAATTTGGAGATATGTCCATCTTACTGAGGCGCATCTAATAAAAATATATATAAAAAAATTATCGGTGAAAACAAATTGACCAAAATACCCCTAAAACTTTTCAAGGGTATTTTGGTCAATTTTTCATGTAAAATATTGTTTTTATATTTTTCAAAGATTCCCCTCTTTTTGATGAATACATGCTTCAAATTTCAAATCATTCCGATTTGTAAGAAAAAAAATGAAAAATAAAACACTACCGGACAATTGTGACCGCGCGATGAACTTTGGACGGTGATGGGAGTAGACGAAATCGCTGTTCATTTTCGCCTATAGATGTTGCATAGTATTTTCCATATATATATATATATATATATAATTTTATTGGACTGTTTGTGTTGCCTTTCGTTTTGTTTCGGTTTTACACTTTTGATTTTAATTTTAAACAAGTTTTTCAATTTATTTTATTTTTTAAGGCCTTTTCGTGTTGTACAATACTGGACAAGTTACTCGTCTGCGCCAGGGCTGAGTCCAGGGCCTGGGGCGAGGCTTTATTTATTTATTTATTTTTAATAAATTTTGATGCTTTTTTCTTGGGTATTTCTATACCCAAAAAAAATATGATGTATGAAAGGCAAATTTAAAAAGAGAATTAAAATGCATTGCTCCTACGATTAGAGCTTTTATTGGATTGATAAGTGAAATTAGAAATTTGATAGATTCAAGAAATACTGAATCGATAAATTAGAAGGAATCCAACCTGTGTCAATGAGTCCATCAGCTGCGCAATTAACTTTTCTTTGCCTAAGGCCTGCTTCTCTAAGCTTAATTGTACTTTCACAACCCATTATATCCTGAAAGATCCACATATTTCCAGTGGGTGTTCTCTAATATACTGAGAAATCATTGAACCAACCAAAAACCAATGGGAGGGAGAAATATTACGGTTATTAAGAATTCATTGAGAAATCAATCAGAATTTGCTTCACAAAACATGATACCAAACGTGTATGAAATACAGAGAGCGTTAGTTCAGCATAGTGGAACTAGCCAAACTTTAATGTACAGAGATCTGCAGAGAGAGAGGCCACTCCATTGCCTGTCAGAAACATTGCCAACCCCATCAAAATTTCACATAATGAACATGGTCCAACTGAAGGAAAAGAGTGTAGAGTCTCTCTGAGTATCTGTATAAGCTTGCACGATTGCTTCTTATATTTCACAAAAACAACAATAACTCACCAAAAAGTAAACATCCAGCAACCGACCATCTCAAATTTCACCATTAAGCAAAGAGGTATATCTAAAACCACACTTAAAATTTGAAAAACAAAGTTACAGAGCTAACCAACAAGCAATAAGAGCACCAACCTCGAAAGTCTTCTTCAACGGCTCGTCCACTGCAAAACCAACCAAATAAAACAGAAAAACCAACCCTCAAAATTCCACCATTGCAAACTCTACCCCAAATCCACCAAAAAACAAATCGAAAAAATTAGTCCACAACGATGAGAGCATCACCTTGATCTATGAGAAACTTGAACTGCTTGAGACTCTCTGCAGAGTGCAAATCCATGGCTACAAACACGCATAAAGAGAGAGAGAGAGAGTTTCTCTCTCTTCCTCTCCTTCTCTCTCGCTTGTTACATTCGCTTGTTATATACTGAATTACTGCGAGCGAAGAGAGAGGAGAGAGAGAGAAGCTTCGTGCACCGATACGATGGTCAGTGAGTGTTTCCCTCAGCTTTCGCTTGCTTTTCGTTTTCCGCTTTGCCCTTTTGAACCGTCATTAAATTCATAATGCCCATAAATAATCACCTAATGGCACGTACAGTCCCAATAAAAAAGACGCAATTAGTGTTGCAAATTTTATGGGTGCGG